GACAAATTCGGAACCTTTTAGGTCGAATTTTCTACCCCTCTTCACTCTAGGGGCTGCACAGGCCGTATGGGGTGGCGCAAGGGATGCGCACTTCGTGGGGTCCAAGACGAACCAATGAGACGTCTGCAGGCCAAATCTCGACATTCTAGCTCAAAACACTTAGAAAATACGCCGGCTCAAAAAAGTGCGCCGCTAATTTTGAGCAGCAGTGTATTACTTTGTTGTAAATGTACAAGAAAAGAGTGGTTAATATTGTTAGCAACATATTTCGTTCCAAAATAACACACTCGTAATATTACAACTGTTTTATCCAGAAGCAAAACAAAAGTGACTGTTTTTGGTCAGAAACGTTGTTTCCGAGATTTTTATCAATGTTGTTTTATTACAACATGTGTTGTTAAAAAACAACAAGTGTTGCTAACAAACTTAACTACACTTCGTTAATTTACAACAATTTTTTTAACAGTGCATAATATGATTACAATACAATTATTTTGATCCGTTATTGTTACTGAATTTGTGATTTTTCTGAAATGGGGATCGATTTTATTTTTTCAAGTGTGTACCCTCCTAATAATTTGTGTTTGTTGCAGAAGCTGTGATGATTTCCTTGGACTCTCTGGATCAAACCGTTCGTTCTTTTGGGATGGATGAAAGTAATTGCAACCCTACTCAGTATTGTTGTATCCACCAATACATTAGTAGTTGTTCAGAACTTGTCTTTCCTGTGTTTTATTTCTGTTGTGCATAGCATATTTCTTGCTCAATGTCATCTATCTTACTTGTCTATCTTGCAGACTCTGGCTTCCAGGACAATTCACCTCTTTTTGAAGACTCTAATCATGAAATCGTTGGAAGTCATCTGATGTTAATTGATGATGATGGCCTTACTTACAATTTTGCTGAAGAAACTGAATGCCCTAAAGATCCCTCCCCTGGCCATATTTCTGGTGCTGCTGACAGTGAACAAGTTGAGAGTGAAATAGCTACTGAAGGAAGTGAATCTGTTGGTTTTCATACTGAACTCAATGTGACAAATGATAGTGGCTCTCCTGCTCAACAGAATTTAGCAAATGATAAGGATAGTGCGGCTCAACTTCATGACGACTCTGATAAGGAAAACAATGGTATGTATTGCTGTGGTTTTGTTGTCCTTTTCTTAGTATTTCTCCTATGATCTCCCAGTATTTAAAACATGTTTGCCTCCACTTGCAGAAAGCCTAGTGATATCTCCGAACCACTCCCTTGCTGAAAAGAGTAAAGGAGTAAAGGAGAAATCAGCAAAACAGAAATGAGGTGTGAATTTTGTACAGTCTGACTCAATATGTTGCATTGGTTGACAAGCAGGCCCGCCCTTCCGCCAAACGCAGTTGCCAGCGCCACTTCGGCAGGGGCCGGGCCTGCTTGGCCTGCCTGCGGCCCGACCATTTCAGTCTCGCGATTTACTGAAGAACATAACCAAATAAATAATGTGACCGGTAAATCACTTTGGGTAAACTAACTTCCGGTGGGGGGCCTGCGGCCTCAGAGATTTGCTCCTTTCACATGACAAAAGACTGTAACGGGGCAACACCGTGACTACACCCCACCCTTCTGCTTTGCTTCAGAAACAAAAAGAACCAGAGATTTTAGATTGTATTGTTTGTCAAACAGTCTTAAAACTTGGCCTTTTGCCATTGTTTTCAATATATCCACCTCTAGGGCCGCAACAGTGAAAGATACGGCAAATCCGAGGGTAGTTCCTGATTCATAATGTGTTGTTTTGGGGTAGTACTTCCTCTTCCATTTTACGATTGGAAGCCTCCTAGTACGTCTTTATGTGCAACGTGGTCATTTTCTCCGTATTTTCGTCGAAAAAAGCCCTCTAGCGCCCAAACGGTGCAAGATAGAGTCGAACGGACAAAATTTTCGAACAAAGAACGAGTTACCCCTAAGGAGACCGCACAGAAAATTGTTTTTCCTACTTTTTAGACCAACCCCTATTTCTTTGTTACCCCCTTTCACCCCCTTGCGGGTGGTTGCCAGGATTTGCACCAGGCGTTTCGTTGTCCAGGAGTGACCCTTAAGATACCCTGAAATTTGTAGACCTCTAGCTTACCTCCTTCCTCTTACATGGACGACGGACGGACGGACAGAGACAAGAGCGGTTGCATAAGCCCGCTTTAATGTTTTTTTAAAAGCAGAAGGGCGGGCTAAAAACACTTACCACCATAAATGTTTTCTCCCCATCAGATAGGGCTCTTGGTCGCATTGAAAGATTGCTGGGGAGACTTGATTCCAAGATGGATATGATCCTTAATAATCAGAGCAAAGTAAATCGTGCCTTGATGCCCCATAAGAAAAGACTCCAAAGGCCCGCATAGTGCCGCAAATTTCCTATCAGGAAGCCAAAACACTTTGAAAAATTGGAAGAGCATCTAAATGATGCTGAAAAATTAAGTGAATTGGTAAGTTTTACCAAGAGTAAGATTAATGTCAGTTCTGTCTGGAAATGTTTTTATTTTTGACAATTTGTGCCTCTTGCAGACTTACTACTTAGAGGCATTAGGAATCCCCTCTGAGGACGATGAAGCAGTGTAAACATTGATGCCTAATGTTCTTTCTAATTGGATGGCTACCAGATATTCCTTTGATGGGATGGGTTCAAAATTTCCATTTTAGCATACACGATTTTGGGAGGCGCTTGAGGGTATAGATAAGGAAATATGGTTCCGAATCTCTTCGCCTTTCAACTTTATTCCAATCGATGCAAGTTCGTTTTAATTTTAATTATGCTAACTTCGGTTTTATAATTTTCAGCTGCCCTTTACATGCAATACCAATCGTCATTGAAATCTGTTAACAAGGACTTGCGCTCTTGGCTAAGAAATGCCAAGGGCCGAGCCGGTGGAAAGGATCCACCATGATGCCAACGATGCAGAACAAGATGGAAATGAAGATAACGATTCGGTGGATTCTGAATAGGATTTGGGATGATTTTTGTGCTGATGATGATTTCATGTGCTATCGAATGTTTTTTGTTGATCTTTGTTTTTGTATCAGTGTAATCCAAAGAAATATTTATTTTTTTACTGTTTTTGTTGAGTTAAAGACTGATTTTTTTGAAATTAAATATGTATTGATATTTTGCCATGTTGTAGTCCTTCTCTTTCCCTTTATACTCAGCCAAAATGCATGATTAAAACGCCCTCGCTCATGAGCTGAGCCAATGACTATTGCACGTCTACACGACAACTCCGAGACGTCTGATAGACGTATTTAATTTCTATTCAAGGTCTTACAGGCGTCTAATAGACGTCGAAGTCGCCGACGTCGTATAGACGTCTTGTCGACGTCTATCTAAATCATGTCTAAATCAGTACCAAATAGACGTCTACGTAGACGCGAACTTCGACTTTATCTAGACTCGATCTGACGTCGGCTAGACGTCTAGTAGATCATGGCTTTCTGGCTGGGAATTGGTGTTGTTTTGATGGTATTCAATACTTACAACGGTTGGAATCAATTATTAAATTGACGAGCTACAAGATGTGTACATCGTTATTGTGTTTCATTCTCCAGTTTACCTAAAAACAACAACGAAAACAGTGTCCCCGAATCTAGACCTCAGCGTGACGGAGTTGACAATCAATGTAGATTTATCAGGTAAAGGGGTTATGTAGAACAAAACTCATGGAAATAACATGAAATTCAATCAATTTGAGGAAGAAATGGACCCAGATCGAAAGTTTGCGCCGTCTCGTGTTCTTCTCAGCACACAAAATATGTTAAGTTTCGGAGCGTATGTTTTTGTGGGTAACCTCTTCGAACCAAGATTTTTTCGATAACTAGCAAAACTAACAAGAGATTTTTGTGTCTTGGCTTTGACCAGGTTCACGAACAAAATAACGCAGTAGTAAAGGGCTATGGCCTCACTTAATAATCCCAACGAACTACGCCGCTGGATATCACCTACGGAAGTTCAGCGCATTCTAAGCGGTTTTAGATCCAGCTCCTCTACCCGCGAGAAGAGCGACCTACACCACGAGCAATACGCTGCTTCTCAGCAGAAGGCCCAAATAATTCGAGACTTACAGGCAGCGTTCCTGGAGCAACGAAACCCGTTTCTTTTTCCCTCTCCCGAACTATTGGCAATTGATACGCACGTGATAGTGGTCGAGAAGGGCAGTAAACAACACAGAAGCTGCTACGAGAAAGGACTCAAGCAGTGTACCGCATTTCTAACGGAGCGGCTCGCCAGACCGACCTCCGTCTTCTCACCGATAAGAAGAAACAACACGGAAATATTTCTGGCTCGTAAGAAAAACATAAAGGGAATGAGCGTCAGTGTGAAAGCTTTGGAGGCAGATGTGGACTTGTTTTCTCGCCTGTATATGACTATGGGAAAGCGACACTAATACCCAAACGAATTCTTTAAGTACGAAAACCAGCCCTTTCCCGCCTGCCTGTCCAAAGAAGGGGGGCTGTTCCCTCACAATAAGTCTGATCTTGTCTCTCTTTTGGAGAATATGTCTGAAGGACTCGAAACGTCACCACTTTTTTCAGTTGGCGTTTCTGTACGATAGGGCTGCTATCGTTCCCATCATCCGGCCTCGCCTCGTGAAGACTATCGAAGAATACTTTGATTTAAAATTGATGAGCCTATTCACATCCGAAATAGAGAAGGTTTCGAATTGATTTAGTCTGGGAAATGTACTTCGAAAGCAGCCTAAAAAAATTCTAACGCTAACGGGTCAATCGGCCCCTTAAGTTTTAACGAACAACCATATACACACGAAGAAATAATCATTCAATTAATCACTTCAGTAGATTGAGCGTTGAAAATTAGAAGATAGGGAAGTCTTCAAAACTTGATGGTTAGTGTTGTGGCTCTTCGTTTAGAAGTCTCCACAATAACAAAACCAACAGCGAGGCAAGCGCCTTATAGAAACTGTTCCGTTGGCATTACCCGGCTATGCCAACTTTTACTTATAGTTAAAACTATCCAAACACATGTTATTTAACCACCTCTGAAGTGAATATTGCTGTAAAGTGTGTACACTACATCGGACCGGCTTTCCACCACACTCCATCCCTGCGCATGCGCAACCACTCCCCCGTGCGTTGCCATGGTGCATTCTTGTAGCTAGCTCACTTATGCTCTGGCTCCCGCCGAGAAAAAAGACCTTAATACTCTATATCCTGATTGATTACAATATGAAAACGCCAAACTAGGGTTATTAAAGGTGGGTTGAACATAAAAGTAAGGAGGGTGCATCACTTAATTTATCCAAAAACATGAATCGAGTTTGTTTGCAAAGGTTGGTACTATTGTTAGAAGCCACGCCTCCTTTCCACCCAGTATTGTCGTAGCCACGACCATTTCTAAACAAACTGTGCAGCTTTGATTATAAATCGGTAGAATTTGTGATTGGAATATCTTATGGCATCGGTTTAAAGCTTACTCGGTAGCTTAAGGAACCGTGCACAATCGGCTCGATTAGATTACCCTGCTTAAATCAATACTAGGTGCACTAGAAATTTAAAACAAGACACACAGAGTAAGAGTAAACGTCGTACATTATTCGTTCTCGACTGGAACGACGAACGAAAATTTTGAACTCACCGTTCGGAAGCTTAATTTTCGGTCTTAAATTTTTGTCCCATACGTTTTTTTGTGAAGTGAAAAGGTAAGCCGCACGGATCGACAGAAAGAATGATAGAAGTGCGAACCATTGTTGTCTTGGCAGCATTTTGCCGATTTTCAGGCCAATTTCGATGTTTAACCTTAATTTCCTCAAAATTGGCTAGACAGATTTTAATGAGTCTATAGTAAAAAAAAATCTAATTTTTTGCTTGATTTTTTGTTAAAATTTTATCAAAATCTGTATTACAGAAATGGCTGTAGCCCATATTTGGGAATAAGAAGAAAAATTCTAACGCAAACGCGTGAACGGCCCCCTTAGATTCTAATGTTAACATTGGAATAATAATACTACAACGATTCATTACATTAGATACTGATGTTGATCAGATTAATTAAATGTTCGACTAAAAACCTTCATATTTACTTATACATACTTAATTTCCACTAAACTGAA